ATAAATTATAAATAAAAAATAAAAAACAAAAAAAACTCCTATTCTGGCCGGCTAGATTCTGGCTATTTAGCATTGTCCTTTTTGAAAAATTACAATCACCCTTCAATACATAATTGAAGGAATTGTTATAATTATTCAATATAAGAGGGTTTTTTTCGTAATTTGTCCAACATTTAATTTGACAATGTGTACTAAAAAGTCTAAAACTATAAATAAAAACTTTTACTTTTATTTATTTAATTAATTAATTGAGAAATGATAAATAAATACAAGTGCAGAAATAAATGATTAACTTTTCATTTGTATGATCTATAATGCTACATTTTGGGAACGGAATATCGGATTAACCCCAATTACATTAACCCCTCTCTCTCTCTCTCTCTTATTTCTCTCTTGTTCGCCACACCATCTGAATCCGACCGGGGCATCTTTCCACCGTCTCCGGCGGCGACGGTTCCACCTCTGTCCCCGGCGGAGGAGTGGAAGCTGGAATCGAGGCATTGCAGATAGTGTAGGATGTCCAATCATCTCTCCGGTGGAGGTACTTTACTCTCTCTCTCTCTCTCTCTCTCTCTCTCTCTCATCGATAATTGAACATCCTATGCGGTGGAGTTGAAATTGAAGAGCAATAGTAACTTTTGACTGCATCTCTTCCTCTCTAAATTCTCTTCCTTAGTGATCTTCACCCTGCTGTGAACAAATTCTAATTTGCGAACTACGCAAGTTTAATTCGTTTCCGATTAATTTCTGGATCGATTCCATTTGCGTTTATGGTTTGAATTTTAAAATTTATTCCATAATTTGTTTTACAATACCCCAATTTTGCGCAAACACTGCATAGGGATAACCTAATTTCGTGTTATGGTTCATTACAACTTGTTTTTAATATGCTGCCGCCTTCTCATTTCAGCATAAATCTTTCAGCAATTGAGATTGATTCCTGCATTCTGATTCACCAACACCCCCAAAGGATTGGGGTTACCGACTGAATATCCATGATACTGTTGCAGTCGCACTGCAGATATCTGCTGCAAGTCTTGTCTACTCGGGTGCAGAAGTAAGACTCAGTCTCTTGCCATATTTTCATAGGAATTCTTGTTAATTACTCTGTTATCCGTGCTAGTAGCGACGACTTTTTGTATAATTGGTTAAGTTTAAAATTCATGTTCGTTTTTTCGGTTTACATTTGATTTTTTAACTCTATCTTCATAACTAGCAGACTACTATACATGTCAAGTATGAAACGACAGTTGATTTTAATTTTAACTGCAGCAGAAGAGTTTTCCTGGTTGGTGTATTTACGATTTCTTTTCATGTGGTAGTATTGTGTGGTAAAGAAAGTTATAAGCTATTTCTTGCCGATTATGTTAATTGTATAAAAAAATTAATTGCATATATTTAGTGGATTGGTTGAAATGGCAGTGAAAGCCTATTACATACGTATGCCGTAGCTTTTATGTGTCAAATGCACACGTGTGATATTATAAATTCACACATATAAATTTGCTTATTTTCCTAACGAAGTTTTGGGAATCTGAGTTCTAGCGATCTTGTGCCTTTCTGAGGTGAAATTGTTGTCTTGCTCCATCTTCTTCATTTTTTTGCATTTGTTAGTGTATACCCTGTAAGGCTTTGTTGTATAATGCCATTTCTTTGTCCTTTGGGGAATTAAATGTTACAGTGCCCTGGATTTTGTATAATTTTGACCAATAAATAGTTGTGCCACTTATATGTATATATATTTTTTATGACTGCCATTTGACAATTGTTGGTACTATATTTTCAGTCTTGAAAAAGGAGTTGAATTAGACTGCCAGTGGGTTGAATTTGATGATGTCCGCTACCATATTCAGGTGATACATATCGTTTTCAAAAAAATTAACGAATGTTTTCATCAACTAAAAAGCTACAGATAAACACTGTTAGATAATTATATTGCTTTTCAAATGATCTTATTACATTTTAGCATTATGTAGAGGGATTTTCGTTCCTGATCTCCTAACCCCTTTTCAGGCAACTGTAAAGAATCCAAATCTCGTTCTACTATCACTGTCACTACCTGCACCACCTCCAGAAACTGTATTTTTGGGGGGACTTCCTCAAGGAGCTATAGAAGCAATAAAAGCAGCATACGGCGTGGTTTTACAAATTCTTGATCCCCCAAGAGATGGTTTTAATCTGACATTGAAACTGAACTTGTCCAAACTTCCTCCAGATGAAGGTTTAGTGAGTTCC